TTTTATTTTTGTGTTTAAAATGTAGTTTGATTTGTTAGAAAATGATAAGAATATCATCACATGTTTAGTTGTTGTATATCACATTCAGAAAATAACTATGCTGGGACAAAAAAAATGCATTTTAGACATGGAAGAGAAGGAGGAATAACTGTTTTCAACTAATGTCAATGTAGCCAAAAGTACATTTATTTCAAAATTTTTTTCAGCATATAGTCATATTTTTTAATGAATGTCAACATGTTGTAAAGGATATTCAACACAACCATTTTTATTTTTTTTTTAGTTTTAATTTTGGCATTTGTTTACTGTTTAAACATGTTCTGATGAAAATGAATGTATTACATAAAGTGATTTGTTAATAATCTAATAGAAGTATTTAAACTTAAGTTTTATTATTTTTCTTAGTTTAATTTACATGACTAGTGTGTATTAGAAAGTTATTTTGACAGTTAAATCTGATTAGATTTACTAAATTGCTTTCTAGGCATTCCTAAGAAGCCTCGCTGAGGCCACTTCTAATGAAAAAGAGAAAGTGCGTTTGCTTGAGTTATGTAGCAGGGAGGGTAATGTAAACTACATGCAATTGATTAGGGAGCCTGAACTTTGTCTTCTAGATTTACTGATGTCTTTTCCATCCTGTAAACCAAGTATTGGAATCGTCCTTGGTAAGATTTTGTTTTGTAAATGAACTGTTAACATATTCTTCATAAGAATAAATTTATTATTTCCACAATAATATGTTAACCACAGACATGTTTTTAATAGTGCCCCCATACAGTGCAAAGTCTGTAGGCTTATATCACCAAATCTTGGGTTTTAGTACTCACAGCAGGCAGAGTACAGATACCATAATGTGAAACTTTGTACTTAACAAAAAACTGTAATGAAAGTGAAATGTCATTTTTTTTTATATCTACATCAGTGTTCGAGGTTGTCATTAAACAAAACGGTTATAACCCTAAAATTACCAACTGTTTATATGTTACTATTAACTCCTGTTAAGGTCCATGTACTGCATCATATTAAGTAATTTTATATTTTTATTTGTTAAACATTCGCTTTAAAGAAACGAGCAAAAAAAAGGGTGAAATCTCCCATTTCCTATGTAAAATACAGAAATACCTGAGGAATAAGCAGTAGGATTAACTGCAATATTAACAGTATTTTTGTTTCCATTTTTTGTGTGTGATTACTGTCCTATTAATGACCCTGTGTATCCAACAAGCTAATTGAGCCACAAACAGTTTGGTGCATAAATAGTTTAGAAAATGTATTTAGAAAGCCAGTGAACCCAATCAGTATTTCTAGGAATAAAAGCTTAACTAATGCATTTGATATTTTGATGTGGTATTTAAATCATATACATTTGATATATAAGTATAGAATTTTTCTTTGGGATTGTTTGTTTATGGTTATTTTTCCTAAGCTATGATATATTTATTCTTCTATCCTGTATGTTTTTAGTTATATCAAGTAGCTATGTAGTAAAATTTTCTTGTGCTTTATTGTGAATTAGTAGTAGTTACAAAGTTCAGAAAGTATTGTTTTTTTGGTGGTATAATGCATATACTTTATTATTTTTGGCTTTTAGAGCATCTTCCAAGACTCCAACCCAGATTTTATTCTGTCACAAGGTAAGAGTTTGGGTTTTAAGTGTTAGGTTCAGTATAATTATGATGGATATTTATGTTAGTAACTGAAACCTGCAGGTTGTTAAATGATTAAGTGATAGTGTGGGGACATAAACACTTTGAAAGTCTTTCCAGCCAGACACAAGTGAGTATTATATGATGTAAATACTTGTAGTTTTCCAGCAGTGGTATTTTATATTTTGAAAGTAGTTGCAACTTGAAATGAGTGAATTAATTTGACTGGGGTAGAACTAAACTAGGAAACATTATTTACCTGAACATTAAACATCTGAATAATCTGTTCAAGGAAAAATTATCTGCTTATTGGTTACTGATTATAAAAAAAACACACACATATATATATTCCATAGTTTGTGTAAGTTTTTGTTTCATGTGTAAATGAGGCATTTGAAATTATTGCTTTCAGTTTAAAATAAAAATTAAAAGTTTTTTATAACCAATCTTTTAAGTTTGCAGCAGCTAATATTGTAATTCTTTAAAAAAATTTAAGCATTAACCAGTAGCTTGTCACTTCAATGTCCATCAACTATTTTGCACCTGAAGCTGTATGTTCAATTGAACTAATTAAGTACGGAAGTCACACATTTATGGTTGTAGATATATAGACAGAGATTCTAAACCAAAATGTGCAATTAATATTTTTATGTTGATTCCAAAAAACAGGAACTTTACTAACTTAGTCTTTTTTTTTTCATTTTTTGACTTACTTGCTCTCCAGTTTCTGTCAGCTACTGCATTTTTGCTGTTAAACTTAAACAGATTAGACATTCAATTGTCAATAGCTGGAAATTTCTTGTTTTACCTAATTCCGTTTTGGTGTGGCATTTAGATAGGACCTTTAAAAATTATAACTGGAAATTGTTGAATTGTTAAGAGTTGTCAGAAATATCTTGAACATAAATGGTTTTCTAAATGAGAATTCAATTATCTTATGTTTACTTTTCTGTACCTTATTTAGGCTTAGTTTAGAATTGTGACTGTAATGTGGGAGGTTATTTATAAATAGAAGGTTGATCTTCAGTCTGTAATTGTTGGATTGAAGAATTGTTGTTATATACCATCAGTCTTTTTACTCGTTTAAAAAAGCTTGATCATTTTTCAACCTTTAAGAAATTTGCTTAGAAGACCACTGAATGTGTTAGGAGCAGAGAAAGAGACAAAAATACACATAAATAGTTCTGTCTAATGCTTTTGGGATAGAGTGTTCATCACCAGTCACATGTACTGTACTAGTCTTTCCAATAAATTTGAGGATTTTAATTTTTAATTTCCTTAGTTATTTTTGTTTATATAATGTTTAATGACTCATACACTTAGTTTTCACCATTAAATGCATCAGTGCACCTCTGAATTGACATATTTTAAGAGATAAATAGTAAGTTTTCATTATAAACAAATGGTCTGTCACCATCAGAAAAAGTAATTACTTTTATGCAAACATGCTTTTTCTTTCATGTTGAGAAACATATGATTTTTGACTTGCTAAAGATTTTTTATGCAAGGGGAGATTTCAGAATAACTTTTATAAAATTGATCCAGTTGTTTTTGAATTTATATCTTTAAGCAAACCACATAAATGAATTGAGAGATTCAGTACAGATAAAATTGCTAAATGAATTATTTATCAACAAAAATATCTGTTTTTCATTTTCCTTCATTTTGTAATAAGAAGTAAACGCTTTTTAAATTCCAAGATCCATCACTATTCATATACTGGTTATAAACAAATGTAAAGAAAAAAAAATACAATGATTAATAGTTTAAATTTTCTTTAATGGCTTTTAATTTTTATTGCACTATCTCAAGTATACAATAAAATCTGTGAGAAATACATTTTGGTTTAGTTTTCTTTTTTTTTTGCATTATAGCTCCCCACTGTTGTGTCCTACTCAGTTCACCATAGCTTTTAATGTTGTGCAATTTCCTAAAGAAAGTGGAAGGTGGCAAGCTCGTCAAGGGGTGTGCACAGGACATTTACAGAGAATCTCATCAGATGTACTAGGTTCTTCAAATCTATCATCCTCATCTCTTGAAGAATCTTTGAAGTCAATGGTTTTGGAATCTTCTAGATGGGTAACATTTGTTATTTTTCTGTGATACCCTTTTATTTAAAAAAAAGCTATTTATGTTTAAAAATGAAAGTGACACCTTGTTTGTCACCATACACCAAAAATAACACTACTTATGTTTAGCAAAACTTTAATAGCTGTGTCCAATCAGGAGGTTCAGTAAATCTTTCCATCAAAGGGACACCTTAATTTTGCTTTTATAAAAGGTTGTTTATTTCCATGAACAAGCAATATGTGTACCTGTACAATCATAAAATCTGTTCCCGCTCCTAGATATGATGTCTTAAGAAACTTATGTTACAATAACATTGAGGTAATAGGAATTTTCATTGGATACTGACTGTTTCTCTTCTTTTGTTTGCATAACCTACTGAATCAAATTGTATAAAACTTGACACAATTTTTATATCGAATATTTAACTTATATTAAAGAAAGTTCATATAATTATGTCTAGTATTTGATGAAATTCTTAGATTCTGATACTTTATAAATTTTACTGTAAGAGGCTGTTTGTAAAAAAATAAAAACACATTCTTTCATCTTACTTTTATTTTGACTTAAGTGTGTGATAACAATGTTTTATTGTATGTTAGGGATTATTACTAGTCCAAAAACTTGATTTGACATTTATTATAAAACTTTGAAGTTTTATGTTTTGCCATTGCACATTGTAAATTATGTAAAATTGAAATAACTGCATAAATGACATAATAATATCCTCTCTGTCATTGTATTCTGCGGGTCACGGGTTCCAATTCCAAACCCAACAAACATGCTCATCCTTTTGGCTGTGGGGGTGTTATAATGTGATGGTCAATCCCACTATTCGTTGGTAAAAGAGTAGCCCGAGAGTTGGTGGTGGGTGGTGATGGCTAGCTGCCTTCCCTCTAGCCTTACACTGCTAAATTAGGGACAGCTAGCACAGATAACCCTCATGTAGCTGTGCATGAAATTCAAAACAAATAAAAAAGATAAACTGTCGTTGTATGGAAAAGATTTGCTGAAAAAAATTTCAAGCAAAAAAAAGCTATTGAGAAATCAATGAATTTTACATTTGTGTAGTTTTTAGAACTTGAATAATAATTTTATAAATGAATTTCAGGTCAAGGTTTATCACAGACGCAACACTCATTTCTACTTACCTAATGACATCACTGTTCCTCTAATCATGGTGGGACCTGGAACAGGTGTGGCACCATTTATTGGATTTTTACAACACAGGTAAGAAAGGATTGTAAAATTTAAATTCAGCTGAGTGGAAGTTTTATGTTGTGTTATATTATGCAATATTGGAACATGTTAGCTTATTTTCACTATCAGGTACTGTAGTTTGTGGTAGCTATGAAGAATACTTAAAACTTTTGTTCTATTTATTTTGACATTTAGTTTTAGAAGTAAAATATACAGTCTTATACATCTCACACATGTAATTCTTATGAAAAAGAAGTTATTGAATAGCAAATTGTAAAATAGGGGAATATTTGCAATTTGTTGGCCTGAGAGAATATATTATTTGTTATTATGTACTGACCATATGTTCAGTTTCAACTCTAATTATCATAAATGTAGTGTACTAACTTAGCTGTTGCTTTGAGTGGAACTTTGTATTACAATTCTTCTTTGCACAACAATCAGTGTGTGTTACTGGTTATTAAATGCTCTCACTATATACATATTTGTTATTAATGTAATTTCTGTAAGATGCTGATGATATTGGAAACAATTTGAAATTAAGAATACCTATTGCCAGTGCCAAGTCCACTCTTCTTGTGTAATCAGAAGGAACATGGCTGTATTGTGTATTACCATTTGCAAATTAATGTATAAACATTAAAGTTTAACAATACTTAATTGCAGATATGTGCTAGCAATCAGTTTACCAGCCATAAAACTACTTAATAAAACAGTTTATGAATTTTAAACCCTGCCCTGACCACAGTTTGAAGAATTACAATTCAAAACCATTTTTTACATTGCCTTCATTCCTGATTATTGTTTCACATGTAAGTCTTCTGTAATAAATAGCTACACTTTATTTAGTTTTACATATATTTGTGCATATAATAAAGTTCTGTACATAGTGGCAGTTGTAATAATGAAACTTCCTGTAATAAAGTATATAACCAAAGTAGGTTCAGTTATTTTGTTCTTGATATATTACAGTTATTATAAGATTCAGTTCTTAGTGCTTATTAGTAAAATAACAATTTATTGTAATAAAGTATATAAACAAGTAGGTGTAATTGTTTTGCTCTTCATATCTTAAAGCTTCAAAGGGTTAATTGCACTTGTGAGAATGGCTTTCATAAACTAATGGCATATTGAAATATTACCCTTGTAATTTTCTACAGATGTCTATGAAACTTGTAATTATGAAAACCTGAAAGTTTTAAAGCTATAAAAACAAAAATTAGCAAATATAATGGCAAATTAGAGTATAAAACTTAAAAGTGGAAATAGGAGGTCAGATGTGTAAAAAGAGAAAACTAACTTCCTGTTTATTTAGGAGACAAAAGCCACAAATTGTTGTAAACCAGAGATGTATAATTTGACAGGAATTACTGAATATACATGAATATAATCAATATGCAAATACAAGCTTGTGTCAGATAGCTAATCACAAGTAGTGAAGTTTCTTTGTTTTTTATTTTAGAGAGCAACAAAAGAAGAATTATCCTTCTGATGTGAAATTTGGGGAAACGTGGCTGTTTTTCGGCTGCAGACACAGAGAGAAGGATTTCCTTTACAGGTAATATTTTTAGATTAGTCTGATATATTTCAACTTGTTTAAAATATTTAGATTTATTAGTTTGTTGCAAATCACAGTATTTGCTGAAGAGTTGCTAGACGTTTGTTGTTTTTTCTGCTCAGATATTTTATGACTGGAGATTTGACAATTTTTCATTTCTATATTTTTTATTAGTTTTTCTTGTTCAAGTGTACATTTGCAAAATGTACAATTGTTTAGCCTCACATTTTAAATTATTTTTCACTTTCATTGGTATCCCTAGGAATACCATAATATTGTTGGTATATCTCTTGTACATTTATAGCAATGGTTTACTAAACATCTAGTTATGTTGGATCTCCTGGAACTTATAATGCAAATCAACAATTTATTTTTTAAATTAGTAACACATTATGGTGTAACCATTACATATTTACTTTTCTTTTACAGTAAATAAACTTTTTCAGTAATACTTTTTATCTTAAATTTGTGTACTATCTTATTAAAGAATAAACAAAATATTAGGTCTATTTCTCAATACGGTTAATTCTGAGTGATTGGTGTGGTCATAGGAAAGTCGTAATGCCTTAACTTTCAAGCCATCATTTTGTGACTTGGGCTGAATGAGCAGTAGCCATATCTTGCATAAAAACACTGCTTTATCTGGCAAACTGATCATTGGTATAGACATGTAGAAGCAGCAGTGTCCATACCTTTGCATACCACCAGTAGTCAAAATGTCACCCCACACCATAACAGGAATATTACTGTGTTTTATCATGGCTTGAGGAGGTTCAGTGAAAGTTTCTGAGCATAGTCACCAAACTCTGATGCATCTACTATCTAATAATTGTACAAATCTGGACTCATTGAAAAAAGTTATGAAAGCCCAATCTGCTTAACGATATGATACCATCTTTGTTGCTGAATGCTGTTAAAAAACGATATTGCCTGGAATGAGGAATAGCTTATGTCTAACTGCTCTGTAGGCCATGCTATGAATATAATTTCTGCATTTTTACACCATTCACTGTGGATAACAGTATTGCAAATAACCTTACAATTTCTCACTGACTTTGACCACCCTCTCATCATCTGTGTGACCTCAATAAAATGTAGTTCATTTCTAGGATACATTCATCCATCCATGTCTATATATGTACTTGGTAGTTTTTATCATGTTATACTTGTGTTTATGTGTTAGGGTTGTTTGCATATGATGTCATGGAGATGGTTGATTTGTATTATTGGGGGCGAATGTTTACTTACTGGTAGACTGTGTATATATACATTTTTGTTGTTTTCTTACCTTTTGCAATGAGACATTCTTCTTGCTTCTTTGTAATGTACTTAAATTTACTACAAGAGAACATAGATTTTTTCATCCAAATGTACTATATTGCATTTAATGCTGTTAATTTATTATTAGAACACTCATCAGAGTTTACAAAGGCAAACTAATTTATCAAGCGGTGATCCTACAAGTCACTCTGATGAAATACAATTGAACTTAAATTATTGTATTAAAAGTTGACACAAAAGTCATTTCCAGTTTATTATTGTGAAATATACATACTAAGAACAACAATGTAAGTGAATTTGTATCTTGGTCACAATTGGAATTGAACAGTTAGTTACATGTGTCACAATGCATTCAATAATGCATGTTTTCATGATGAACAAATTATTTTAACAATATCATGATGTATTAAAATCTTGATGAACTTTACTTTAAATCTCAACGATTTTAAAAATTCAAGTGCCACATAATTAATTACTTTGATGGTAAGTTTGAAAGTCCACATAAGAAATGACTTAATTTATGGATCATTTTGATTGAGGTTGACTACATTTCCTATTAAATATCAGAAAGAATCAAAATATTACTTACTTACTTACATTGTGTGCATGAAATAAAAATAAAATACGAGTCCTTTAACATAGCCACATGTGATTTTTTTTTTGGTTTTTGAATTTTAAGTGATCTTTATGAAAGCTGCAATGTAGCATCGCATATTTAGCATATATCTATTAACAAGAAAATCAATTAGTTCTGGTCACCATGTCTCCAAATAAAAGATTGCATTATAAAAAAGGCCTTCTATATATATTGCTTTCTAAGTATAGTAAGTAATCTTTAGTAAAATTATAGATTTGTATAGTTATCAAGTATTTTTGGCCAAGGTTTGAGAAAAAACATTCTATGTTGAGAGGTTTGACTCTTTTCAATAAATTTATTTTCTTGTTGTTTTTTCTCACAAAAATATTGATTTGTATTGTAAGTTTATAATCAAGCTTTATTCATTTGTTCCTGTTTTTAACTTCTGATTTTCAGTTTTGTTCAATCACTTTTTTTATGTTGCCATTTTATTATTATTTTTGTAGTATTCTGAATACTCCAAGATTGCTTTAGTTGCCTAAATTAGTATTAACTTTTCAGCAGTTGGGTACCATTAACATTAACAATATTTTATGCTGATTGTTTGTTTTAATATTCTGGATGTTTACAGGTCAGTTGTCCAAGTAAATTTCTAAATTATTATTTTCTCAGTGCTCACTATGGGAGAGCTACAAGTTTTTCTTTTCATTGTGTCCAAGATATACATGCAGAGACTTCTTGAGGATTAGTAAAATATTTATCATTTCTTACTCTTAATTTTTTGCATGTTTTTTGCTGTTTTCAAGTAATTGCAAACTCTCTTGATTTGTCGAAATTACACATTTCATTTCATTGGACTTATTTTTGATAGTATAACTTTTCTCATTAAGAGATAAGGTAACTTGTTTTGTATAAAGTGATTTATAATTAATACACTTTTTTCATGTCCAATGCATAGCTGATGAACATTTAGAAAAAAAACTTTTCCTTCTAAAGCATTAATATATGTTTTATTGAAATTTTAAATAACTTAAGAGTACAGTTTATGATTGTTGTAATGGTCTTTGGTTTTCTTTGCTTAATATATACTAGGGAAGAACTGGAATGCTTACAAGCCACTAATGCTTTGACCAGGCTTCTCGTCTCTTTTTCTCGTGATGAAACTCCAAATGATGAGCCCGAAAATTTTTGCCCTCGTTATGTTCAAGACAACATCAAAGCAAATGCCTTAGACATTGTCCAGTTGCTAGAACAGAAAGCTGTAGTCTATGTTTGTGGAGATGCTAAACATATGGCAAAGAATGTGTTTGAAACCTTTATCTTCTGTTACCAAATGGCCAAAGGTGTGTGACTATATTTAGTTGTTAAAACTAAAGTTATAACATGTATAGTATAGTAAAATGGTGTAAATTAACTGATTCATTGCAGATGTCACATAGATTGGACTTTTTTTTTCTGTACACTGTGGATGTGTCATGTATGGGATTTCATTCACATTGTGAGGTGTACCGAAGAGAAAAGACAAAAAATGATTGACCCATTGTTCAGTGACAATGCTTGGGTAGATGGAGAGTGCCTCAACACTCATAAATATCCCTTATCAGTTCAAACAGGAAATTTATAAAGGAAATCCCAAGTATGACACATCTGCAGTGTACAGAAGAAAAATGTCCAACCTGTATACATGAAGAGTTTTATTTTCTGTTTTAAAAACACTCATTCATCATTTTCTATGTTTTAGTTTTCTGGTGTAGTTTTGTACTAAGATTAAAACATGTTTTTTTTTTCGTAATGATATTACCTCATTCACACAAAGCTATCTCAATCATTGACTGCCCTCTAAGCATTGCTAAAAGAATTTTAGTAATCAGTGCACCAGTTTCGTGCCATTTCTGAACATGTGCATATCATGTGACTACTCTCCACCAATAGTATTGCTTCACCTATAATGGTGCAGCTAGCTTCCTTTGCTATTCCCACTCAGTCCTCACTTGCTTGATTGTCACGATACAGATTAAATGTGTTTAATTTTTCTGAGTATGACTGCAGTAACTCCTCATAATTCCAGATACAAGATGTCTCTACCCTGCATTTAAAGTTGACTGTGGTATGATTTTGCTCATAATGCTGGTTACAGCTTTCCCTGTTCTTATAGTTGAGTCAAGGCAATGCCAAGATCCCATAATGCCAGATTCAGTTTGTCATACGTCTTACTCCATTGATGGTTTTGGGAGTGTGTCTGGTTTCGACCATTTGCTCACTTCCTCTTCGCAAATCTGTTTCCTTGACATACGGCATTCTTTTTACTTACAGTTGGGATTGGCGGGTATCAATAACATGGTCCACGTACCCTAGCCACCTGTGGTCATTTATAATTTTTTTTATCTCGTTATATGGTGGTACAGCTTACACCTTCTTAACACTATTACATTTGTGCAAGTATTAGCTTTTCCACCCATTTTATGTTACTTTCCTAATTCCTGGGTGAAGAGCATACCTGTTTCAGAAGTAGTGTGGTACCCCACAGGTGTGCTTCATTTTCATCTCTGAGCACACCTATTCATTGTGGATGATCACTTTCCTCTTGGTTTGTTCTTTTTGCATCTACACCACCCCTCCACCTTTGTAGTGTTGGATTCTAATTTTGTGTAAGCAGATATAAGACTGTTACGGAAATTATCATTTTCTTACACTGAAAATGTATTTCTGATAGTCACACACTTCCAATCCTTCCTTCCCACTGAAACTGGTGTTTTTATTCAATTACCTGCTAGTTGTTGAAAATGAGGATTGAGCAGGAATAGCAGAATGAGCTAGTTGCACCATTATAGTTGGTGGAATACTATAGATGGAGAGTAGTCACATGATATGTACATATTCAGAAATGGTGCAAAACTGGTGGAGTCTAAAGACTGGTGCACTGATTACTAAACTTCTTTTAGCAATGCTTAGAGGGCAGTCAGTGATCAAGATAGCTTTGTGTGAAGGGAGGTATTTACCCTTTGGAAATACATTTTTCAGTTTAAGAAAAATGTTATCTTTTTAACAGTTAATGTACAAATGTATATAAGATGTTTCATCTGATTAAGAATATAAACGTAATTTTCAGTACACTTACTTCCGTAAAAGTGCTATAGTACATCTCTTGTTTTAGTTTTAAAATGTTAGGTAATTATTTATGATTTTTTTAAGGTTGTTCGGAGGCTGATGCTAAGGCATACTTCAAAACAATGCAAGAGGAACATAGATATTTACAGGATGTATGGGCATGTAGATGAGTATCTCATCCATGTTTCTGGAAATGTTCATATGGCTGATACAGGAAGCAAAACGTGTATATTAATGAGGAACTACCAACTTTATAAAAAAATCTATTATAAAAAAAAAAATATGAAAATGTTAGTTTTATAGAAATATTTGTATATATCGAAAGAGATAAGTGTTTATAAAGTTGTGTGTTTTTTCATTTGCTTAAACTACAGAAGTTAATCATCTGAAAACTCCAATCTTTGAAAAGTTTTATTTCCAAACCTTACCTCTCACCACTTATATCCATTATTTTGACTGCCAGTGTCTTACTTTGTCCAACTAAGCATTGATTTGATTTTATCTTGCTTGCTCCAGTCTTTTATACCCCACTCAATTGCACCTACATCAACTGTATATAAGCACCTGATTCTGGTAATGTTATCACTTTTTCTTGACAAAGCAATTAGGAATGGGTTTCTCAAAACAAAAAAAAGTACTGTGACTGTTTCATGGGTGCAATGTCTCAAGGTCTAAAATTATTGAAGAGGAGAATCATCGTGCTTCGTTACAACAATTCCATGGTGGTATCTTACACTTCCCATCAAGGGGACACTGGATCATGGGATATTTCTTTTTGAACATTGGATCTTTTTTATTAGGCTCACTCCTATCATATCAGCCTACTAGCATGCCATGTTCTGGAGATGATGAATTTGATAGCAGGTCATTTGTCTCAACCCAAATGGATTCTCCCAACTGAATGATTGCTACATTGCGAGGTTTTCTGGTGGAGTTGATCTTGGTTTGGGACACTGTTGATTGAGGCATTCGCCACTCATTGGGACTATCAACTACAGGCATTTTAGCCCCTGGTACCTCATCTTCGGGTATTGGCGATATATGCATTCAGTCAGGACTGGATGGGATTACACCAATTTTTCTGTTACTCAGAGTTCTGGCTATGGTTTGATCTACCCTTTGTCATGTGCTGTTAGTAGCCCTAGGTTTGGCTGGCTGAACCATGGCTTTCTCTTCTTTGGTATCTTCAAGAGTGCTTACCTCTGCCACTTCCTCTTTGGCCATTTCTGTTGAGGCAGCCACGATCTGACATTATACACCCACATATTCTGAAGCTAAAGCTTCATGAATGGAAGTTATGTGGTCCTTCCTTTGGCATTGGGGTTTAACTTCTAAAGTTGCCATGTATTTGTCTCAATTTTTCCATAGACCCACAATGGGCATTTATCAAAAGAAATGACACACTTATCGACAATGGTGTCTCGTGAGGTAATTGGACCCCATTTTGCCCAACTGTGCCAATACAAGGCAGCTTTATTGACAACACTTCGATACTCAAAAAGTCGGAAATTATTTTAGGCCCCAATGTTATCCGGCCTTCTCAAGTCGTTTGAGTCCTTCGTCTCAAAAGGCCTTTTTAATTACCTAACTAGGATGTTAAAGTGGTATTACATGCTTTGTCTTGACATTCTTTCAAGCCTATAGCCTCAGGTACCATGTATCACCTTTCCCTTAAAGTTTAACTTTTGTTGTTACTTGTCTGAATGTACACAGGACTCTTTATCACTGTATTTACATACTTCTATACCCAGACAGGTCCTTCCTACCTAAGACTCTACCAGCCAGGGAAGGGGATAAATTCTTCTCACCAATTAATTTGCCTGCTCTTTCTCACCTCTATGACCACTCAGACCCCGATCGCTTGTTATGTCCACTCGGGGCCCTGAAATGTTATTTGGCTCACACTAACTCCTTTAGAGGTGATAGACACCAACTTTTTATTCACTGGGCTCCTTCAGTTTCCCATGATTTATCCCTGATTACCTTGACGAGATGGGTTTGAAAATGTATCTATATTGCTTATTCTGGACTCTCTTTACAGGCCAGGAAACTTCTGCAAGTCACGTCTCATCAGATTTGTCACATCTCTATGTCTTTAGCTGCCCAGTTGAATAAATTGGGGTCAGTTTGTTTTTAAAAATTTAGGGAACTTGGTTCACATATTGCACTGTTTCCAGAGTACTGTTTCTCAGAGCTCCCCAATTTGCATTACAACCCCCCCCCCCAGTTGCTACTAGTTACTTCCTCCGCTCTTAGAGAAGTGGGCAAAGTTGGGCTCTCCTACCCGAGTCCCTGGATGTTTTTTTCCCAGATGTCAGTAGGAGTGGCACAAGCCTACATGGGAGTCCACTGTCTTTTTGTAATTCTGAATGTGGATTGGTCCCATCCTGGGTCCTTGGTTGAGCACAGTTGTTCCAGTTTGAATGTACCTTGCCTACATGGATGAGGAGTGAGAATGAGTGTTCATAATTCCAGACTGAATGAGTTCTGTTTTGTTAGATTGAATAAGGCATACGTGATCCTGTCATTCCGAGCCTAGAGTGTAGCCCTTTGGTCTTCTTCAGGTTGAGGAAAAAGTTCATCCACTTCATTGTTGCTTACTTTCTCATTTTGATTCTGGTGGCTTGGAACACATCATCTACCAATTTGGGATATAGAGACCATGACCACTTAATTCCAACCCCGAGTAGTGGAACCTTGGCTATCTGGTTGGGTCCTGGCCTATAGTGATGATAACTCGTGTGAAATCCCACCCACAATACAGGAAATAAGTTCTGGGTGAAAGGCATACCCATTCTGGATGTAGTGCAGTTCCCTCACTGAGGTGCCAATTTTCTATTGACACACTCTTAATCTGTGCAGATGTTTTCTGTATGAATACTGACTTTATCAGATTCCAGCTATAAGTGGGAGAGGAAGTAAGTATGTTTTGGAAGTTAACATTTTCTTATATCAGAAATGTATTTCCAATAACACTTACCTCTGCTGACACTCTCCTGCCCTTCCTCCCCACTAAGAGCCATTGTTAGAGACTGGGATTGAATCATTCTCGAAAAAATTATAACATTATCTGAATAAGGTGCTTATATACAGTACCAGGATAGAGGCCGCATTGACATATATGGAGAGTGTCACGAGATAAATATCGCCAAATGCAATTGAGTGGGGTTTTAAAGACTGGAGCAAAAATCAGATCAATGCATAGATAGGCAAAGGAAGAAACCCTGGCAGTCAAGTAATAGCTACAAGTTGGAGAAAAGTATGTAAGTATTATTTTCAATTACAGAAAATGTTAACTTTTTTATTTAACCTTCCCATATTCCTCTAATTGAAGATCATTTTATCCCATTTGATACTACTACTACAGCTGTAATTTGTTTGAAATTCACTTAGAAATTAAAGTGAAAAGGAATATTTTTTTTTCTTTTAGTAACCAAGTCTCATATACTTTCATGTAAAAATGGTTCACTTTCGACTTTACTTTGTTGGTGGAACATTTGATGTATGTTGGATATCCACTGTGATGTTGATAAAATATAATGCTCAGTAGCATTGTAATACATGCAAACATGTGCCCTCCTTCCCCCAAAAGTACAAATGTTTTTACACCCCCAAGAGGCAACAAACATTATGTTAGAGCTAAATGCAACTTTTCTTGAATAAGGGAGTTCTTTGGGCCCACAAGTTTGAAACTATGCCATTAAATATGCAACTGCAGCTTTTAGTATTCAATTATTTCTTATTTACACTTAGCTACACCTTTTTATTTTTAGTTGCTTAACAAATGACTTTTTTTTATGTATATTACATTAATAGACACAATATCAATGAAAATAGTATGATTTATGTTTTTGTATGGAAACCTTTGATTGATTTTTACCAAATGAACTTTTGCTCCAAGAAGCAATTAAACATCTATTCAGTACTAATAAAATTTATAGAATTTTGAGATGAAATTTGTTAAATGAATCTGTGAAGATCAGTAAAATGTTTAATGATGCACTGAATTTTCTTGAAGCCTTTCTTGTCAAACTCACTTGTTCAGGAACATATAAACTCTAAGCTTGCCATATCCTAAAAATATTAGTTTAAAAAGGATATTACCTTACATCCTACATGACTGGAAACATCTCTGAAATTACATAGTTTGCAAGGGAAATTTTATATGGAAGACCCATAAAGAACAATTCTAACGTCTTATTGTAAAAGTCCAGAAGGCTATTTACACCAGAAAAACTGTAAAATTGTTGTAAGACTTTTAAATGTTGCAAACTATTCAAACAAGATCAAATACGTACTTAAATATGAAAATTATAAGGCAGTGCAAAGATTGTTGGACCAGTAGAATGGGATCATGAACAAAATAAATTAGCCTTAAAGTCAGTAGGTTGACATCATATCTTCAAGCGAAGAGCATCAGTTTAGTCACTTAAAGAAATATGTAAGAATGTGATAACAATCGACCTAAGATTTAATTAGCCTAACCATTTAATGGATATAACAACTTAAAGCAAATTATATTTTGCACAATTCATAAACTTCTTAGAGTGTATATTTTGGGAAACACAGAAGCCTTGGGACATCCATTGTGCTAATAAAAGATGCCTGGCTTCTTGTGGTTTATCACCATGAGCCCAAAAAGTAAAAGGTAAAAAGCCAAACAAGAAAGTAAGCTATAGTGGAATTTAGACTGAAAATCTATTGTTCAACCATCTGAATTATACAATGCAACAACAGCTTTTTAATATTAAGGGTGTTTCTTCTAGCAAGATTACTTAGATACGTTGTCTTAACTATCTTGATAACATAATAATTCATAGAAAGACAATGATTCCTATGATGGAAAGTTAAGGGAAACCTAAAATACAAACCAAAGAAAAACAAACTACTTTACTTCAATGTATTTTTTTTTTCCTGGAATTATTAAAAAAGGAATCAAAATGTAGAAGTACTAGAGAACCAATTAACATAAAAAAATTAAATCATGAGTTTTTCTGGATTCATATTTCTTTGCTATCATTTTAAAGATATTTTTTTATATTTTCCATCCTCTTTACAAAATGTTAAAGTTCTGATGGACAGGAAAGTGTGAACAGGCAGGTATTCATTGTTTTTAAGCTTTGCATAAATATCAGTGTTAATTTTAAACACATGCCAGTAACTGTAATGAATATTGTGTAATCACAAATACCCAATGAGAAAGAAAGGATGATAAAAAATCCAATAAATGAAATTGTGCACTCAAAAAAAGATAATATATGACTCGTAAGAAGATATTAAGTATTGTCAATAGTGTTAACCGTTCCATGACAACCTGTATTCATACCTATTCAGGTAGTAAGATAGTCACAATAATGGCAGTAGTATTACTTTACTAAAATGCATATATATTGACAGAACCATTGGAAATGTAAACATCAGAGGTGACATTGTGGTATTTTCAGGTGAAACAAATTTCTCCTAACAGCGACAAGACGGGACTGCAAGATAACAGAAACTTTAACAAGATATTTATTACAATTCTTAATTTTCTGAGTCTGACTAAGTTTTTGAGCAATAAAGATGACACAAATTTACAAAAAAGAAATCATTATTCAAAACACAAGCACAGTGTATGTATTTGTTGAAGCACCAAAAATGTTCACCTTTACTAGAGAACTTGATCTAGTCTGCTTTACTTCTTTAGATTATATGAAGCTTTATTTCATACTCGCAAAACATAATGTTACAAGCTTAAAGTAATCTCGCATCCTCATCTGTTATGGAATCTATCAATTAGTCTTGACAATGAAGACATCATTTCATGTGGACCATCAAGGTAAGATAGTTGGGCAACATTTTTAAAATCTTCTGCAAATTTGGCTAAGGTCTGTACCCTGTTCTGGATCTATGGTTTGGACAATTCCTGTTGGTGCATCACTTCAAACCTGTTGGAAAAGGCAGGTATCAATGCTTGATAGTTGTTACGGCTTTCAGTTGGTAAGTTACTTAATGTTGTCAAAGCTGGTCCTTTTAAATGTGCAGCAAGATGAATATCCTGGTTTCTACTATTCCACCTGTTCACTCCAGAAGTTATTTTGAACTAAACCTAATATGTCTCTCATGGTAGCTTTCAATCATAGCCCACTGGTTTCTCAATTGGTGATGTTGGTTAACTGGCCAGCTAAATTCTGGAACTGGTTTTGGTTGTGATCCAGGGAGGGTCTTGCAGTTGCAAATGGCATAGCAGTAGTGGTAATAGGTGTAGACTGAATAGTTTTTCCTCATCCATATAGTGAAAGGTGTTTTAATCTGCCATTGATTTCTTTTTTGCTTTGATTTTACCATTACAGCCTTTCTGTAATTGTTAATGTCTTACTGCATTTCTTAAAACTTGCAATCCCCATGTAGATCTTCAATAGCTTTGTAGTTCTTGTCTTCAATCTGAGTTGCTTGAGTTTTAGTTATTCTTTAAATATTTTGTATCTTATTTTTAACTCTATTTTTGACTAACCATCCTCTCTCTCTAGTCTATCATTTCAAAAAAAGGAGCAGCTATAAGTGATAGTCTTGAGTAGCTTTGTGAAAATATTCCAGAAAACAAACGAACAATGGCCAGGTGGTTTGGGCACTCGACTCGCAATCTGAGTGTCGCTGGTTCGAATCACTGTCTCACCAAACATGCTCGCCCTTTCAGCCGTGGGGGCATTCTAATGTGACGGTCAATCCCACTATTCGTTGGTAAAAGAGTAGCCCAAGAGTTGGTGGTTGGTGGTGATGACTTCCCTCTAGTCTTACACTGCTAGATTAGGGACAGCTAGCGCAGATAGCCCTCATGTAGCCCTTTTGATAATATCTGTTAAAAAGGGTATTTTTTGTATTTCTTTTATACAGAATAAACACATAATTAATTGCACGATGACAAATACTGATGACAACCATTAATGCTATCTGAAGAAGAAAAGTACTGTTTTATGTTTAAAACCATAAAGTTGAAAATATGAATGAATATTCGTTGACTGTTGGATGGAAGTAGGCCTAACACAAAGCCCAGACCTTCATTCATGTATCTGCCTGAGCCTGGCAGTGGTATATGATGGCAGCAGTCTGTTGAATGGTATGACTCTTCAGAAGTCCTTTTGGATCCATGGATGGTGCTGTAACCAAGCTTGCTTGAATGTTGGTACAGCCATCAGTGCAGAAATTTGACATTAAAATCAATCAAGATTGACTGTTTTGGGCATTGGAAGCTACACTGATGGTAGGCATCATACTTGTTAGAACCAGTGGAGTTGAATCTACTTGGAATGCCTCTACCTGGATTTTGACTCTCTAAATGGTCCAATTCATTTTGTAGTTGAACTGCAGGCAAGCTGCATTCCACCAGTGACTGTTGTTAAGCTCATCTTCTATGAGATTGAACTGGCCCATCAGCTCACATTCAAAGCACATTTTTTCAGCCCTCTTCCAAAGCAATGTATGGGTGGAAGCATCATCAGTATCTGCAGCAGTACAAACATCATGCAAAAGCTTGAGAAATCCTTTTCACTCACTGCCATCTAGTGAAGCTGTGTCACAATACTGGAATACGTTGATGGCTTGCCTACCATCAATGAAGCACAAATTTGGAGCAATACAGGCACCTCAGGAGAACAGTATACACAAGGTACAATATTGTATTTACTGTTGTAGGCATCTTCCTTTTTTGTAACCTGTTCAGAGCTACACCTAGAACCTAGTCACCACATGTACTTGCCTTCATCAGAATGAATATGTCTCTCACACTCAGATGCTGCAGCATAATTTTACAAAGTATCTTCAACAAAGATATCTGCAAATGACATAGTAGCATATGTCTTCTTATGCAGAGGGAACATATTATCTGCATAGGCAGTCAAGTTCTCTTTAGGACCTTATTTTGAATCTTGAACTTGGTCTGATAAATATTTCTTTTCTCCGCTGGTTCAAAAAGTTGGAACAGCTTGACCATGAATGTATCCCACTTGCAAAGTTGCTCTTTACTCAGGTGCTTGTTTGAATCAAGTGCTGGACAGGTCAAATTAAACATTAGGTATATTGTATCAACTGTCATTAAGTTCAGCTATTCCAGAGTTTTCTGCTTGAAATAATTCAGGAAATTGTCCAAGTCTTCTTTAGCTGTAACCTTGAAAATTGGGATTAGGGTGGAATTTCTGGTACAAATACTCAACCAACACCAAGCTGAGACATCCTAAATGTCAGAGGTGCAGTGTAGTAGGTGGGCTCAGGGATTTCTACATTGTGATGAGCATTAGATCTGTGATTGTGGCCCACAAAACAATGAGATGTTGAGAATAGCACATCTATGGGTTATGCAAGACTCCAGAATGTTTCATGATCCATAGTTATTCTAGCAGCATGCTTATTAGAGGCTCACAACTGCCTCATAGATCACCATCTTCACAATTTGGTACCCACTTTCTCATGGATTGATGAAATCACTTGAAATGGGTGTACCTCTAATCTCTTTTGGCTCATCTCAGGTGGCATCAAATAGAACCAACATTGAGCTGCTCTTGTCATTGAATGCCTAGAATTCTATAGAATCCACCCTATTTGGCAATAGTCTCAATTGGCTATCCCTTCTGTGCACCAAAATTGATCTTTGGAGTAGAAATTGATCAAAAGCTCTGGTAGCTCAAGGCTGTGAAAATTACCATTCCTAAGTTCACAACTGCAACAAGACTGTAGTTATGGACTGCTGCAGCATCAGCACAAGTACAACATCCAGGTGAGGACTTTTATATGAAACTAATCTTTCAAACAGCCATCTACCCTCAATGATGAACCTTTTCTCTTGGTTCTTGTCCTTCTACTTGTGGAAAATGTCATTTATGCATTCAAATATATTTAAACTTGAAGTATACAAGAGCTAAGAAACCAAAAGTAAAGTGCACTAATCAAGAAAACAAAAATTTTTAAAACAAATCTCCTGGGATGTGGCATCAATATTTCTACTTACTATCTTATTCTGTGTTATTCTCAGGTG